CCTACCTCTGTCTCCCAAGTGCTGGGATTAAAGGCGAGTGTCACCAACGACCAGCTTTGTTCCATTTTCTTATTCTCATATAGCTTAGTGTTTCCTAAGTGAGCTTGGTTATCCAGTGTTAAAGCTTGCTGTGTCCCTTTCTCCTTCAAGCTCAGCTGTAAGTGTCAGAACAGGTTTCATGGAGGAGGCAACTCTGGCCAGGTCTTCGCCAACACAGTTATTCATTTGCCTTTGTGTTGCACACTCAGGTGTCATACTTAGCACTGTAGCCTCATGGTGAACATGAGGATAGTAGAGACTGACATGGCAGCAGGCAACTGGAATACAAGGACATAGGTGAACCGCCCAGCCCTCAGAGAGCACGGAGGAAGCACAGGGGTTAGGTCTTCAGAGAGCTAGCTGTTGGTTCTTTTGCTTTGGTTTTTTGAGAGTTGAGTCTCTCACTCCATAGCTAAAGATGGCCTGGATTTCATTATGTAGCTCAGGCTAGCTTCAAACTCATGATGACCTCCTCCTCAGCTTCCTGAGTGATAGAATCACAAGAATAAGCCACTATGCTCAGCTTTTTATTGGGTCAAAATAGTTTCCTTGTTGGGTCCTGCTTCCTCCCAAGATAACCCCTAGGAAATATACTCCAACGCCATAGCTTTCCTCTCTAAAAATCTAACCTACAGGATTGGAAAGATGGCTCAGTGGTAAAGAGCACTGGCTGTTCTTCCAGAGATGCTGAGTTCAATTCCCAGCAACCACATGGTGGCTCACAACCATCCACAATGAGATCTGGTGCCCTCTTCTGGCCTGCAGGCATACGAGCACTGTGTACGTAATAAATAAATCTTAAAAAAAAAAATCCAACCTACAGCCACCCCCACCCCACCTACTGAGCCCCATCCACTAGTCTTAGGAGCAACTGGACAGAAGACTACTTAAAGGTGGTACAGGCCTTAAATTCCAGGACTCAGGAAGTCAAGGCAAACAGGTCTCTGTGAGTTTGGAGAAGGTCTAGTGTACATAGTGAATTCCAGGCCATCAAGGGCTACACAGTGAGATCCTGTCTCAAAAAAAAAAAAAAATTAAAAATCATGGCACAAGGAAGGCAATAAAGGACCTTCCAGACCAGATGACTGCTTTTG